AAAAAACTGAAACATAAATAACAGAACTAGAATAACAGAATAACATAACAGATAGACTAGGTATATTCTACCCTACGGACAGAGTGGCCCCACAGTCGGTTTCTCTACAACTATCAATTCATTTCACATAATCAATGAAAAGAAAAAACAGCCTCTTACACTACAGCTTATCTTTGGATATCTTGTGCGTAATCTTGTCAAAATATGTTGAGCTTTATCCTGCATCTTTCTGTACATATCATTCCTTGCAAGTACCATATCTTCTATGTCTCTTTTATTGAACATCAATGGGGTTGAGTAAGATAGATGATCATTAGATAAGATACTCCAACAGGGAAGAATTTCCTCATATGTATGATTCCCACTGATCATAGAATTACATAATTCAAGTAATAGAATTAGTACTTGAAGCTGCTGGCCTGCTCGGATTAGAGGGAGACAAAAATCTCTCAGAAAACAAGGAATTGCAACTCCAACTCTTTCCTGTGGTGCAAATCGACAAACTTGTAAGCAAACATGTATAAATGAGAAATGCACATAGAAAAGATTTCTGAAACTAACATACAGAACTTGTAAACTATAATAAATAGGGTTACCTTGATAGATGCCAAAGGTAAGTCATTCAAAAAACCAGCTTTACCACAAGAATAAGGTGGGGAGTCATCCACATATTCTACAAGAAACTCCTTGTAAGGATCACTAATCTTTGCTTGGTAAATCCATGATTTAATGAAACCACAATATGGTTCACATGATCGGAGAAAAAGAAACTTAAGAAGTGGACGGTGAACTGGATCAGCATCCTAAAAGAAGAATAGAAATGGAACTATTTAAGTATCAGTAGTAGGACCACAGGGAAAATCAATCAACTGAATGATCTTCAAATGGAAATGATCACTAAATACAAGATATGAATTATTAATAGACTTCAAACAGATTACAGGGAGAATAAATCAATGTGTTGCATCCAGCCAGAGAATAGTAATGAATAATGACTTCCAAAGCAGAGAGAGAGAGAGAGAGAGAAAGATAAACAGCCTTGTAACTTTAATCCATGATAAAGAAATCATGGTAGCAGCAATGGCAGGGTTTCCACTTACAGAACTCGTATTGCAACCAACAGAGGATAGTAACATGAATACTGGTTGCCAAAGAAAATAACAATCATTATAAGGAAACTCCCATCCATGATATAGAAATCACAGTAGCAACAATAGTAAGTTTTCCACTTCATAGACAAGCTTACTAGTATCTCAGTCTTGCTTACCTAATTCACAATTTGAATTAAAGTGGATCCACAACCAAAGGGTAGTTTTTTTGTTTTTTCTTATGAAATACTTAAAAGCTTTTCTCAATCTGCAATAGTCTAGTTCTGTTGAGGTGACAAGGTAAATGCAAAGTCATCATGGATAGCCATGTGATGCAACATAAAACCAAAAAACCATTAAGGCAAATACTTAAAAGCTTTTCCTACTTTTGAGCAAAAAGTGACAAACAATGGAGAAAAGAGAGTATTATGAATGCATCTAAGTGGAGGAGAATTACAGGTTGAAGCCAAAAAATATATCCTGGAAGAACATAGAATCCAAGTTAAGTGATCGTTGAAGGTCAGGGAGGCAAGGATGGCTACAATTTTCTTGGTTGGAGAAGCTATACAATGGTTGCAAGATTTTGTGGATGGAGCTATTCTCTCTGTGAGGAAGCAAGGGTAGAAGAGTTCAATGTCTTCATCAAATCAAAGGTATGAAGTGATGCTACAATGGAATAAGAAAGGGTGGTTTGTTACAGTCACCGAAGAGTTCAAGGAAGGCAAAACACAAATGTTGTGTTTTCCAGTAGGGAAGGAGTGTTGTGGATGGAATATGATCAAACAGATCATGCAAACTTATCTAACTCATATCAAAGATGGTGATGTGGAGGAGGTAGAAAAGGAAGTCCCAGTAGAAGGAGAGAGGTCTCAAGGCAGAAACGAGAACCAAGCTCCCATTACAGGTGACCCTGGCTCCAACTGGAGATGAAAAAGAAGAGAAGATTATGCTAGTCACTAACTCTTGGAGAATGACGGGAGTGCAGTGTTAGACTCAGTGATAAAAGAGCTTCAGCTCAAAAACACAGAAGCACTACTCCCCTTTTACGAGAACAAAGCTGTTGTAGATGTTGTTGATGAGAAGATAGAAGTTTCAACTGTAAAAACAGGGGAGGCCAGGTTCTATTCGAGAGATGGAATACGTTGTGCTATGATATAGAAATAGATGAATTTTTCTTTGTTGTCTCCCTGGAGAGAGTTAAGCCTTTTTTATCTCTCTCTAGAGTGTTGTAACTACATTTTTTATTAATCTAATGGATTCCTGTTATTGATCAAAAAAATATGGAAATAGATGAATTGAGAACAGTGGTGAAGGTAATGGATTTGCCGTTCGACCCGTGGATGGAAGATGTCTTGGAAAAAATTGTAGCAGTGTTGGGCAGAACCTTGGAAGTTTTTTTTTTTTTTTGATCAATAAACCTTGGAAGATTATAGCTTCGAAGACTTGTTCGCTGTGAAAATCAAGATGCTTGGGGTGAGACAATATTTGATTCCACATGCTTGTGATCTTCTGGTAGAAGAAAGGTGGAGGAAGTTGCAGCTTGCAACAGGAGTTGAAGCGTTGCTATGGCAGAGCTGTCGAAAGCTTGAAGACGATGTTGAACTGGCCTATTGACTCCCATGTGGCAAGAGGAGAATGGGGGAAAGGAGCAGATGAAAGAAAAAATAGAAGGGGAAAACGTAAAGTCCTCTTCGGTTGACCAAGAAAAAAGGGTAAATGAAAAAGAAAGGAGTTCAAACAATTTTATGATGGAATTGGGGAATAGTGTGTAGGAGGAAAGAGGAAGGTGGGTTGGTACTGGGGAACTTAATTTTCAAGAATAAAGCACTCCTAGGAAAATGGTTGTGGAGATGGCCCTTAGAACAGGAGAGATTTTGGCAGTTTGGGAAATGGATGGGATGCTGGTGTATTGCGTCGAGCCACTTTGACAACTCCTTGGAAAGCAATTCAGAGTATTCTTCCTTTTTTCATTAACTGTATCAGGTATGATGTCAGTTCTAGTACTTCTGTTTTGTTCTGGGAAGACATCTGGGTGGGCAATTCTGCCCTTAAGGACAGTTTCCCTTCTCTCTATTCCATTTCTTGCTACAAGGGTAAAACAATCTCTCACTTTCTTCCAACATCTGCTTCTCCATCTTCTCTGAATTGGGACTTTGGGTTTCATAGGGGCTTGAGGGATCATGAACTCTCCTGTGTCTCAGACCCTTTGTCACTACTTGAAAGTGTTTTTCTGGACCCTTCAAGATATGATGTGAGACTTTGGTCTCCAAACCCAAAAGGTTACTTCACTTGTGCTTCCTTCTTTAAGTCCCTTTGCTTTGCCTCGGGACAAGTGGGTTTCCCAGCTAAGGAGATTTGGTCTAAACCTGTACCTCCTAAAATTATTATGTTCTATTGGGAGGTGTTCTATAGGAAAATCAACACTTCAAACTTATTGCAGAAGAGAAGGCCTTCTATGTGTTTGTCTCCTAATTGGTGTGTACTTTGCAAGGCTAATGGTGAGGATTGCTCTCACTTACTTTTAACCTGTTCTTTTTCTGCTGCTATTTGGGGTTGAATCTTTGCTTTGTTTGGTTGCAAATGGATTTTGACCACAGTCAAAGATCAGATCTTTGATCCTTCCTTCTTTGTGTGGCCCATAAAAATTGGTAAAACAATGTGGAGGTGCATTAGAGCTGCTGCTTTGTGGACAATTTGGGAAGAAAGAAATGCAAAGATCTTCCAAGAGAAGGAGAGAAATATTCAAAATGTAAAGGATTGCATTTTGACCAGCGCAATCCATTGGCTGAGATCATTAGATTCCTTTAAATTGTGATGACATGTGGAGGAACTGGATTGCTATGGCTAGTAGCAGTAATAGGAAGAACAGGGTACCAATGGTGTGGGTGCCTCCTTTAGAAGACTGGACAAAGCTGAATTTTGATGGTAGCAGCCAAGGAAATCCAGGTCCATCAGGGATAGGTGGGGTGCTGAGAGATAAAGATAGTAATATATTAGCTTTATTCTCAGGTTCCTGGGTATAAGAGACTCTATTAGAGCTGAGCTTCTAGCTACAGTACAAGGTATTCAGATTGCAGTACAAGGTATTGTTGCTGTTTTGTGTGGTTGGTAGAAATCCCTCTGCTCGGCGGTTCGAAGAGGGCTGGTTTCAAGTGTGAAGTTGAGTGACAGTGCAAGTCTAGTTGGTGGGGGTTCAGATAGGTAGGTTCCATGGGTGTAGCAGTGAGGAACAAATTGTGATGTTTTGCAGAATCTAATTCCCTATTCTTGAGGTGTATTGTGATGGTTTATGGTGCTGAAAGTGGAAGACAGCAGTGGTGTTGTTGCTGAAAGTGGTGAACAACGGTGAGCGTTGTTGCTGAAACCAAGGTTCAAAAAATCGGCACGTATCAGCCGACGTATCGTATCGGGAGCTTCCCGATACGCCCCTATAAAGGGTGTATTGGGGTTTTGACCGCTTCAGGGGTGGATGGACCTTAAACCGGCCCCTCTGAACCGGATTTGAGAAAAAACTAAAAAATAACCGATACTGCCCAATATGCCTCTAACGGCATATCGGGCGTATCGATATTTTGAACCTTGGCTGAAACCTATGATAGTAAGTACCGTAATAGTAATTAGTCGTTGGTGTGTAGTGTGGTGACTAATTAGTGAAGTGGAGTGACAGACTAGTGGTAGAATTTCTTTCCTTTTCCTTGTGCAGTCATGGGAGACAGCAGTGAATGCAAGCCTAGTGTGATGTCCCTTCTAATTATCTGAATGTGCAGATGACATTTATCAAACTGAATGGTGAGAATTATGTGCCTTGGGCTAAATCTGTTTAAGTTTTTTTGAAAGCTAAGAAGAAAGTTAAGCATGTGAGGGAAGATAAACCCCCAACTAATTCTCAAGGATATGATGAGTGGGAGCAAGAGGATGCACAAATTATGACATGGCTATAGAATAGTATGGAACCCAAAATCAATGTGAACTTCATGTTTTTAGATACAACCAATGAGGTTTGGGAATCATGCAAAGAAGCTTTATTCTGGACAAGACAACACTACTAGGGTTTACCAACTGTACCAAGAGTATTTCAATCTGCAACAGGGGAATCAAAGTCTTGAGGAATATTATGCTAGTATTAGAAATCTGCGAAATGAGTTGAATGTGTATCATCCTCTTACATCTGATGTCAAAATTCAGCAACAACAAAAGGAGCAGTTGGACATGACCAGATTTTTAGTAGGGTTGAAGTCTGAATATGAATCGGTAAAAGCACAGATACTAGGTGGGTCTACTCTTCCCTCTCTTGAGAAGGTGTTTGCCCGTCTACAGAGGAACTCAGTTGGACCCACAGAGAACTCCACTATATCAGATAGGTTTGCGTTTGCAGTAACGAGAGGGGGAGGCTGTGGAGTTAGAGGAGGAGCTCAAGAAGGTCAGCCTGGTCGTGGTGGTGGTGGTGGACCCATGTATGGTCGTGGTGGTGGTCGTGTTGGAGATCGAGACTCAGGGGGAACCCGTGGCAGAGGATGTAGTAATGGTCAGAGGAGGTGTACACATTGTGGTATGGAGGGACATACTATCAACTTCTGTTATGATCTACATGGCCCACCTTCGACCTAGGCAAATCATGCAGCAGTAACTGGTGGTGGTTCGAGATAGGAATCTCAGCAAACTGATCAGATACCTTATACATCTACAGATGCCTCCTGAAAGGAGATGATGAGTGT